TTTTTTTTTTTAATGGTCAAAAGAAGTTTTCCTTAGAACCTATCAGTTTTTGATATTTATATTCAACTGAATTAATGTGTTTTCTTCTTAGGAAGAACTCCAAAATTTATCTACTGGGGAAAAGGGTGATGACTTAATCAAGGTCTTACGAGAACTAACCACTGTTCAGAGAAAAATAGCAGATTTGCAAGTGGAACTTCAAGGTCGAAAGGTAAACTATCAGAATTTCACCACAATTATGCAGAAAGACTACAATTTGGAACTTTTGATCAGTGTGGGGTTTTCAATTAACCTGAAAAAAATGATAATCAAAACCAAAATTTTCTTTCCGGTTCTTTAAAAGGTTGTTATGTTTGGTTATTTGAAAAATAATCAGGAACTCAGTTCATGTTTGTGCTTGTAAGAAATCCAAAAAAAAAATAAAAAAAAAATAAAAAAAAAATAAAAAAAAAACTGAACTTAATCAAATATGTTGAATTATTAAATAGGTTTCTGATGTGCTTAAATAATGTTATGGCGAATTATTAATTTATATATTTAATATCCCCATTAGGTTTCTGAACTTAATCAAATACCACTAGAAATAAACTGACATAAGCGCATTCCTTGGCTTGTATATTTGCTTCATGACTAAATTTTTGTTCACATGTTTCCGGAGCTATTTGCTTAACTGAATTGTATGCAACTCTTTTGACATTTTAGGATAATAAAAATGTGGCTAATTTGACACATATTAGTGAAATGGAAAAGAAGTCTGAGACATTGGCTAGGACTTATGTTCTTGATGTGAACATGATAATGTTCTGTATGCCTTTTCCTGAAACTTTTTGGATTATTTTTATTTATGAAAAAGTATTCACAATTTACCAAAAAGAATACACTACAATATTGAGATGTGTAGGGCTAGTTCTTGTTCAAGTCTAAGTGTCTAACTATTTTTGGTAATAATTCTTGTTTCCCCTTTTCAAATAGGACTAGGACTGGGGACAGGGTAGCAGTAGATTGACTCCTTAGTTTAATTATCGTACTTATGCCATGAGGTATACTGCTAAAGAATAAAACTTGAATTTCTTTGTTACACAGTACATCTGAACATCACCATGTTACCATAACATGTTGGGATTTGGGACTTGTGTCTATAGTCGGCTTTGTATCATTACCTTTCAAAGGATTATGTAAACCCTCTCCTTTTTCCCCTTTTTGCCAATAAAATATACGGAAGCATTATCCTTTGCACGCTAAAGTGTTGGCTGCAGAAGCTGTTTTATCTTGTTAGATAATCCTGGCTCATCCAAAAAATCCTGTTAGATAATCCTATGATCCTTTCTAATAATCGTTATTTATTAATTTTTTAGGACCACATTATAGCTCAACTCCAACAACCGTATTCATTGGATTGCATTCCTGTGGAAGCAGAGTATCAGGTTTGTCGTCTTTTTCATCCATGCAAAGTATACTTGTTGAGCAGAGTCAAGCATAAAGATCTTTGGAATCGGGTTTTTAGACTTAATGGTTCGACCCCAATCCTTAAGTGCTTGGGTGAAGTGGTTGGAGTTTCGAACTCTATCACCGTCGTGAACTTCACCAAAAAAACGGCCCAATCACTGCGCGTCTTATTTGAGGGAGTAGACTGTTCACCCGATCTGGAGATCGAATCCCTAGTTGCTAATATTTAATTCAAATTAACTTTTTAACCATTACCCTCGCCAAACTAAAAAAAACAACAGTATAAAGATCTTTGTGATGATTTTTTCTTTAGTTGACCAGTTAATATTTAGAACTTTTTTTAGCTTTCAAGCGGTGTTGTTAAAATGCGCCTAGGCTCTAGATGGCAGGCCACTGCCTCGCCTAGCCATTAGGCAGTGGACTTGAGTGTTTCGCTCTCCAAGAGTGCCTAGGCACACAAATCATTTTGTTCCTAATTTTTTTTTTGCATTTTTTCAAAATAAAAGTGCCTGGATGCAATTTGGCACTAGGTGGTAGGGCGACACCTCTCCACCGCCAGGCACTTTTTGCAACACTAATTTCAATCGTATGACTAACTGAAGAAAACTATGAGGTTCGTTATCTGTTATCTGTTGATCATTTAATACAATGAGGATGGTTTTTAGGCCATAATTCATATATAACCGGGAAAGTTGAATGCCTATGAAGATATAATAATGAATTTTTATTTCAAGGTCCCTATTTTTTGCATTCTGCTCATAATTGTTATTTATCTTCTTGGACCTCTAGCCTACCAGTTCCATTTTAAGTGTAAACCTAAATTTACTTTAAATTTCAATATATTTACAGAGACATAAGTTGCAACAGGAAATATTAATCTCTGCCTTGGAAATTTCTGGAGTTGATGACTTGTTTTCTTGAAGATCATTTTTTATTTTCAACTTGTTTCAAATGATATTGTTTTTGTAATGTATGTTTTGAAATAGCTTTATCTGAACTGCATATTCTTCTTTCCATGCTACAAGTTTCTTCTTGTTGTCAAGTATATATATGTTTTTTTCAAATAGTTTCATTCAAAAGAAAAGGAAAACTTGTGGGGCTAGACCTTGATCTTAAATAAAGGATGTAATTGAAACGAACAGAAGCCTCATAAACATTGTTCTTTCCAAACCATCTATCCTCCTGCCTAACTCTTCAATCAAGTCCCCTCTTAGCCTTTGAAGAATTCAAATAATGTTGCAAATGGCAGCACTCATGTATCAAGGAAGAAAGAATATAAAGTCCACCATGTAAATCCCATGACTGAAGTATGTCATCATAGTACTTCAACTTCTTGAAATATTTCCTTCCACATCATTAATACACGTTTCTAACTTTTAATTAAAATCATCTTTAAGGCTGAAAATTACTCCATAAACTACTTAAATCATATCTAACCTGTCTAAAAGTAACTGTTCTGAGCAGAATTTGGTATGCTATCGTGGAAGTGATGTGGTGATGATGTAGAAATGATGTAGAACAATAAAGGGATTGTTGGATAAATAGAGGAAAGAGGAAAAATGAGAAGAGGGCAAAAGAAACTGGATTTTTGGAAGACAATTACAATTCATCTCAAAACTGAAAAACCCTAATATAACCTTAAGCTTATATTGAAATCCTGAAACTCTGATTAAACTTCTAATAGGAATCTCTATTTAAGATACCGAATCCTAAATAAATATAAAATATTGAACCTACTCTATTACATCGAAACTACTCTATTACATCATATCTAAAATTAATTCCCGAATCCTAAATAGTAATAATTATAGTGGAATCCTACGTAATATAGAAATATCGTTATCTTCCTCGGTTATCTTATCGATTGTTGAAGTATGAGATAATTATAGCAAAGATTTAAATGGACTGGTATAGTAATTAACATTTAGCTTACATTACAGTACTAACTTCGATATCCTTTTTTTTTTTTTTGGCCTCCAAAACTTGATATTCAATTTGGTTTCTTATGTTCCCTGCTAGGGATATGCGAAAAAAAATGTGTAGTGAGAACTGTTTAGGTGCGGAATCAAGTGACAATGAGTTGGCAAACTTGAGTGTCATGGCCAAAGAAGACAATGCTCAAGAGGTAAGCTCTTAACCCATGCTTAATGATGAGTTTAATTCTTTAGAAGATTTACAAGATGCATTTAATGAACTTTATAGAGAATTTAGAAAAATAAGCACAAAGAATGCCAACCTTAAGAAAATCATTTACTCTCTTTTACTTGAAATGAAAAACTACAAAATGCTCTTAATGAAGTAACTCAAGAAAAGGAAAAGCTTCAAAAATCTTTTGATGATTTGTCTCTAGAAAATGCTCTTCTTAAGAAGAATGATTTGTATAAGATTGTTAACTCCTTGAGAAACAACAATACAATTTTAAAAAGGGATATGGATACTCAAAGTGAGTCTGTAATATCCCACATTTTCTGAAATTCTAGCATTTAAATTGAGGATCTTTGTGTGAGAAAATATTATTTTGGGGCTTATTAGCTAAAATATCCAAACTTGAGGGACTTAAAAGAGGAAAGATTTTGAATAAGGATCCACTATTTTTTTTTCCTTCTTTCTTCTTCCTCACCCGCGCGCCTGCTTTTCTTTTTCGGTTAAATGCTAAATTTGGTCCCTCAACTTTAAAAAATGAACATTTTTGATCATTCAACAATTTTTTGCACTTTTTTGATCCCTCAACTATAAAAAATGCACTCCGTTAGTACTTCTGTTACTTTGAGCCATTAACTTCACTTATGTGGCATTTTTTATATTTTTTTTGATGATGTGGAGAGCAAAATTTAAAAAAGTGATGACAAGGACAAATATTTTGACATGTCATGTTACTATGTGTCAAATCTATTCAAATGATTCCCACATCACTAATAATGAAATTTGTCTTTGGTTGACACATCATCAAATTTATTCAAATGGGTCCCACATCACTAATAAAAAAATTTGTCTTTGGTTAACATGTCATCAAATTTATTCAAATGGGTCCCACATCACTAATAAAAAAAAAAATCTTTTGATGACATAAAAAATTAAGTAATATTTTTTATATTTTTTTAATAATATAAAAAATTAAATTAAATATTTATTCGATTAAAAAATAATATTAAATCAAAATTTATTAATTAATCATCATTCAACTATAATTATTTATATTAATTAAAAGTAAAATTCTAAATTAATTTATAATTAAATCACAAGTTTTTCACCGAATTTTCTTTTTTTAACGGACATTATAATTTCTCGGCAACCAAACAAATTCAAAGCATTTTCTCAGCATTCAAAGCATTTTCTCAGCATCCAAACACCCAAACCATACCATTTTCTAGCCAAACAAATGGAAATCCACTAATTGCTTCTCTGCCCAACTGCTTCTGTTCTTTCCATTTTGAACCTGCAACTTGGATAACTTCAAACATATAACAAAAAAAAAACACAAAAAAATGGAGCTGGGTTCACCGAACCCAGCCAACTGAGTTCCACCGGAACCCAGATCTACTGGGTTCCGGAACCCAGCAGACACAGAGGAAGACGACGAAGAAAGAAGAGGAAGAAAGAAAAAAAAAAAAAAGAAAGGAAGAAGATGATCGAAAGAGGGGAAGAAGATGGGTTAAGAAAGGGAGATGGGTAAATTTGTAATTTTTTATTTTTTTATTAAGGTAGAATCGGGTTTATGAGTTGGCGATGAGTTGGATGAGGGGGCATTAAAAAAAAAATTCCAAATCAACACTTTTTTAAATTGTTTTTACCATGTCATTAAAAAAATTATAAAAAATGCAACGTGTCGTAGTTAACGGTTTAAATTGACAGAAGGACTAATGGAGTGCATTTCTTAGAGTTGAGGGATCAAAAAAGTGCAAAAAATTGTTGAGGGATAAAAATGTGCAACTCACTAAAGTTGAAGGACCAAATTTAGCATTTAACCTTCTTTTTCCTCCCCTGCACCGAGCAACAAGACCCAGGCCCCCGACGCACCTCCCTCTGAAAATCGGTGAGAAAGCTCGAGATTTTCCCTTCTTTTCTTGTTCAAGAACAACATTTAGGAGTTTAGAAACCTTCTCCCCCTGCAGGAAATTCCAGATCTGCTCTGCTCTGTCTTCACCGCCGGCTACTCTTGATTGTGGGTGCGAATTTCTCTAATTTTTGGGTAAGGAACAGCCACCAATCCCTCTGTTCTTCTTTGAATTGGCTTGGGTTAACACTGATTTCTCTTGGTTTCTCCAATTTTGGGATCGATCCCGAATTTCTCCCCAAATTGCCGCCGGCCTTCCCTTAGCTTGCAGCTCCGGTTCTGCTGGGAAATTCTGGTATGGACAGCCGTCTCAAGTCTGAATTTATCAATTAATTGTTGTCCATTTAGTTGCCCTGTCTTGTCTGAAAATCTGCTGGGATAGGGGATGAATTTGGCAACTCTTTAAATGTGTTTTGTTGTTTAAATTATGTGGAAATTACTTGAATTGACTGCTATGAGATTTTGGAGAGAAATACCGTGAGATTAGCTATGGTTTTGCCAATTTTTTGAAGTTGCAGTACTGTTCACCGCATGAGCACTGTTCACGGCATAATTACTGTTCACAACACTGTTCACGGGTAATGGCCAGCAATTAACGGGATTAATTGTTCAGTATGTAATATAAGAATAAATTTGGAGATGTCTTGTCACGCCCCAGAATCCGAACTCGAGGCACGACAAATGCCGTGCACTTGTGAAAGAGTCTCACAAATGCATAAGGTTCAAAACTTATCAAATTCACATCTGACAATCCGATAACTTAAATCATATCACAAAAATCTACTCTCATAAAATCTGTTTTGATCTCATAAATTCAAGGTAAAATCTATCTTACAAAAGCATAATTTATTTCTAAAATCTATATCAATCTTGAAATGGCTAGCCTTCTAACTCGTCACTTCCTGTGGTTTCCCCGTCCTCGGTTTCGCTTCCTGAAATGGTGGACAAGGAAAAATTATGAGATAAACTCAATAAGTAAAATATGGAGTGCCTTTAATTAAACCTATAGCATGCCAACAAGTATAATCACAAAAAATAGGTACGAGTACGGAAACGAAATAGACGTCTCCTTTATAGGCCATGGCCAGTGTTATAAATCTCCCACTGACAGGCACATGATTTACTAGTGTATAATCCTACTAGCAGGATAACAGAAACGAACCGGTTCTATTAATAACATGTCGACATGTGCTAGCGTTTATAAACCTCCCACTAGCGGATACACGAATAATATGACCATATCGGGGACAAAACAGACAGAGCTTAACAGAAAAATCATAATTCACCAATCACTTTCAAATCATCAGGACAATAAATTAAATTTCAAGTAGGCATGCTCAATTCAATAAAAAGAATAATAATTTTATTTCAAATCAATCATGCTCATTTTTGTATAAAACGGGTTTAGTCCGACCACCACTTCAAAAACAAGTCAAAACATACTTTTAAAAACTGTACGGGCATTACTATAAATTTACTTACCTCACTCGCATAAAACCGAAAACTCAATCTCAGTGATAACTGATAGAACGATCGGGAACCTAATCAAAATATTCAAAAATTAATTCTATACTATCACAAATTCAAATTGAAATCATCATGACTATCCCCCTAATCACAATGTTATTCCTATCAATCTCCACATGATCAGATATCTCCAAATTTGTTCTTATATTATAAACTAAACATGTAAATCCACGTTAATGGTAGCCATCAGTGCGTGAACACTATTTGTAAACAGTAACTGCACCTCCAAAATTGGTCAAAACACTAACTAATTTACGGGATTTTCTCTCCAAAAATCACAGCAGCCAATTAACTAATTTTCTACATGAATTAAGCAACAAAACACACTTAAAATACTCTAATTGCTACCGGAATTCAACAAAATTCGGACAGCACATGGGGCATCAATTAAATGGACAAATTCAGCAACCAATTGATGAGATTTCAAGCTTGGAGGGGCTGTCAACATACCCGAATTTTCCAGCTGCAAACCGGACCTAGCAGGGGGGGAAAAGCCGACGGCAATTTAGGGAGAAACTCACGGCTACCAGAAATTGGAAGGAATTAAAAGTAATTAAAGTAAACCCAAGCCAATTAAAAGCTAAAGAGATGGATTAACGGCTGTTCTTACCGAAAAATCAGAGCAATTCGCCCCCACAAAGCAGGAGCAGCCGGCGGTGAGAAGGAGGAGCAGAGCAGATCTGAAAATTCTGCAGAGGGGGGGGGGGGATTTCCAAGCTTAAATCTGGTTATTGAACAAGAAAATAAGGGGAAAATCCAAGCTTCTTACCGGTTTTTCAGCCGGAAATGGGTGGCGGTAGCTGGGGGCTTCGGCCGGATGCAGGGGGGTCGGGAAGAGCAGAAATGCGAAATGGCTGGGGAAGAAAGAAAGAAGAAAAAAAGAAAAGAAAAAAGCAATTGACCCTTATCCAATTTTCCCTCTTTAAGTCCCTCAAGTTTGGAAATTTTGGCTATTAAGCCAAAAACAATCTTTTTCCACAATTTAGTCCTTAACTCACACTTATTTATTCTAGAAATTTTTGGGGTATCACATGTCCGATCATGTGGAGATGGATAGAAATAGCATCGTGATTAGGGGGTAGTCATGGTGATTTTACTTTTGAATCCATGGTACGATAATTAATTCTTGGATATTTTGATTAGGTTCCTGATAGTTCTGTCAGTTTAGCACTGAGATCGAGTCTTCGGTTTTATGCGAGTGAGGTAAGTAAATTTATGGTAATGCCCGTACAGTTTTTAAAAGCATGTTTTGACTTGTTTTTGAAGTAGTGGCAGGACTAAACCCGTTTTATACAAAAGTAAGTATGATTGATTTGTAGTGAAATTTTTATGCTTTTCATTAAATTGAGCATGCCTACATGAAATTTAATTAATTGTCCTGATGATTTGAAAGTGATTGGTGAATTATGGTTTTTTTGTTAACTTCTGCTTGTTTTGTCTCCGATGTGGTCATGTTATTAGTGTGCCCGCTAGTGGGAGGTTTATAAATGCTAGCACATGTTGACATGTTATTGATAGAACCGGTTCGTTCGAGTGACCCTGCTAGTGGGGGTTATACACCAACAAATAGTGTGCCTGCCAGTGGGAGGTTTATAACACTGGCCATGACCTATAGAGGAGACGTCTATTTCGTTTTTGTACCCGTATCTGTTTTTCGTGATTATACTTGTTGGCATGCTATAAGTTTAATAAGGGGCACTCCATATTTACTTACTGAGTTATCTCATAGTTTTTTCTTGTCAACCATTTTAGGACACGAAGTTAAGGATGGGGAAAAACGAGGGGAGTGATGAGTTAGAAGGCTAGCCATCTTGTAAATTTGATATAGATTTTAGATATAAATCATGATCTTGTAAGCTAGACTTTATTTGGAGATTTATGATGTTAGAGCAAATTTTAAAATTTGATCTTCAGATTTTGATGTTATCAGACTGTGGTATGATAAGTTCCGAGCCTTGTGCATTTGTGGGACCTTCTCACGAGTGCACGGCGTCTGCCACGTCCCCAGATTTGGGTTCTAGGGCATGATAGATTTAGTGGTATCAGAGCTTAAGTTTAAATTAAGAGCTTAGGATTAAATTAAGCACCTCCATATTTAGTGGTATCAAATCTTAGATTTAATTATATACCTAGGTTTAATTGAGTACCTTGGATTTGTTTTGGACTTGGCTGGCCAATGGATTTTAGAACCGTGGTGAGACGAGTGATGGGGTTATATAAGGGACGATTCTGATTCATGTTGCTTGAATTTTCTAATCCATTTTGATGAGGTGGTGATCTGATTGTTCTTGTTTCTTGCTTTCATACCCTATGTAGATTCATGAAATTAATCTTGTCCACCATGTTCTTAAGACCTTGTTTTGAAACTTGATCATTTTCTGATAGTCTGCACTTGCTTAGACTTGTTGCTTGAACAGAATTTTTATATGCTATTTTGCCACAATTGTAAAACTTGGGGAGTTGCAGAGATCTTTTGTTATTGATCCTGTTGGTCTCTACAACATAGCTGGTTGAGAAATTTGTTTTGTTTGTCACATGACCAGTGGAAGATGGGCAACCCTCTACTTTGTAAGAGATTCAAGGCTATTTTAGCAATTGTTGTGTGTTTTCTAGATGCATTTTAGGAGCTGGATAACTTGGTAATTCCGTTGCTCCTTATCTTCTGGAAGTCTTATAGTGAAGTTCATTTTTCCATTTGGAGCTTCATGGTCTGTTCATGTGGCTCATTTTTCTATATTGGTTAATAAAAAATAGTGATCAATTCAATTGAAATTGCCATGTTTTTGTGAAGATTGGCAAGTTGTCATAAAGTTAAACTATCTATTGTTGCTAATCTCTACATTCTTGATACTTGAAAACTGCTTAAAACTCTTGAAATCCATCTTGAATCTTTCTTGAGATTGCTTTGTACTTGTTCTTAAAACTGAAATCCAAAAATGGATAATGATTATTGAAACCCTCATTATCTTGATACTTATCTGAAATTAATTCTTGCACTGTTCTTGGAATCTATTTTGAATTGTCCTTGAAAACCATTCTTGTCTTGACCCTTGCTCTTGCTCAAATTCTGTATATTGCTCTTGTTCAAATTCTGTATACTGCTCTTGCTCAAATCCTGCATAATCTGCTAGTTCTTGTTTTAGTATACCTGTTGGTCTTCTTGATTTTTGATTTTTGTTCATATGGACACCTCTTTAGGAGGGGTGACGATCATTAGAAAATACCTATATGAGGCATCCTCATTCTTGTCTCTTGCAAGTGTTAATTTCTGTATCCTTGATGTCTTAGCTTTGACTTGACTCTAGGATGTCTAGGATGACTTGATTGTAAATCTACTTAGCCTCCATGGGCTACAAGGTAAAGGGGTAGTTTTTGAAGTACCTGATGCCTAGAGTTTTGTTCCCAGAGAAATGGTTCTTTTATTTGGCTGCTTTGATTTTTGTTTGCCCTTTTAATCAGAAGACAATAATCTTCTAAGTATCATGATCCCCACTATTGATTATTTTGTTAATCAATTCGTGTTACTTGGGGTGCTAGATCTTGACATCCTGGTTATATCTGCTCTTGAATCCGTGTTTTGGTCATCATTATTGAAATCTCTTTTGTGGGCCTAATCCTTGAATTCTATTGCTTGTTTCATGGTTAATTCTTGTCTCTCAATTTTGACTGCTTGGTTAAATTTGATCTTGATTATTGGTGAATGCCGTTTTGTTGCTGAAATTTTTGAGGCATTCTACTTTGCACTCTTATGTTCTAGCATTCTCCCAAGCATTCATTTTTTCCACTAATTTCATTCTGAAAATTTCACATGTCATTTGATGGGTCTAGCTTTTAACTCTTGTTAATTGCTAAAATCTGTCTCTTGATTCCAATTGCTTTGTTAAACATGACTTTGCTTATTGGTTAACCTTGTTGTGGCAGAATTTATAAGGCATCCATGCACTCGTTCATTCATTCATGATCCATATATTCATTGGATGCTTATCTGTCTTTGATAGAGTTCAAAGTTTTGTTGTACTCGTCTTTAAATCCATGCCATTCTTTGCCAACTCATCTTGTGTTAGGTTCATAGCGTAACCCCACAACTATTCTTTTGTAGCTTTGGCAAGATTTATTTTTATTCCTTGTGCTTCCCATATCACCCCAGCCTCCAGTAGCTTGTTTCATAGTAAATCCTGTTAAGTAGTTAATGTTCTGCTTTTATGATTAGTTGTGGTTTGATATCAGAGTGGCGTAGCGGAAGCGTAGTAGGCTATGTTCTGTTCATAAAGAGTTGGTGAGGCATTGTTTTGCCTTGGCTTGTGTGAAGCCATTCATCACTTGAAATGATCCTCAATTTGAGTTTTGGGGACAAAACTCCTTTTTAGGAGAGGTGAATGTAATATCCCAAATTTTCTAAAATTCTAGCATTTAAATTGAGGACCTTTTTGTGAGAAAATATTATTTTGGGGCTTATTAGCTAAAATATCCAAACTTGAGGGACTTAAAAGAGGAAAGATTTTGGATAAGGATCCACTATTTTTTTTCCTTCTTTCTTCTTCCTCACCCGCGCGCCTGCTCTTCTTTTTCCTCCCCTGCACCAAGCAACAAGACCCAGGCCCCCGACGCACCTCCCCTCTGAAAATCGGTGAGAAAGCTCGAGATTTTCCCTTCTTTTCTTGTTCAAGAACAACATTTAGGAGTTTAGAAACCTTCTCCCCCTGCAGGAAATTCCAGATCTGCTCTGCTCTGTCTTCACCGCCGGCTACTCTTGATTGTGGGTGCGAATTTCTCTAATTTTTGGGTAAGGAACAGCCACCAATCCCTCTGTTCTTCTTTGAATTGGCTTGGGTTAACACTGATTTCTCTTGGTTTCTCCAATTTTGGGATCGATCCCGAATTTCTCCCCAAATTGCCGCCGGCCTTCCCTTAGCTTGCAGCTCCGGTTCTGCTGGGAAATTCTGGTATGGACAGCCGTCTCAAGTCTGAATTTATCAATTAATTGTTGTCCATTTAGTTGCCCTGTGTTGTCTGAAAATCTGCTGGGATAGGGGATGAATTTGGCAGCCCTTTAAATGTGTTTTGTTGTTTAAATTATGTGGAAATTACTTGAATTGATTGCTATGAGATTTTGGAGAGAAATCCCGTGAGATTAGCTATGGTTTTGCCAATTTTTGAAGTTGCAGTACTGTTCACGGCATGAGTACTGTTCAAGATACTGTTCACGGGTAATGGCCAACATTTAACGAGGATTAAATGTTTGGTTTGTAATATAAGAATACATTTGGAGATATCCGATCACGTGGAGATTGATAGAAATAGCATCATGATTAGGGGATAGTCATGGTGATTTTACTTTTGAATCCGTGGTACGATAATTAATTTTTGGATATTTTGATTAGGTTCCTGATCGTTCTGTCAGTTTACCACTGAGATCGAGTTTTCAGTTTTATGCAAGTGAGGTAAGTAAATTTATGGTAATGCTCGTACAGTTTTTAATAGCATGTTTTGACTTGTTTTTGACGTGGTGGCGGGAGTAAACCCGTTTTATACAAAAGTAAGTATGTGTTTACACCATAAATTACAAAATTTTAAATTAATGCCACGTGTAAAATTTTTATTGGCTGGAGGAGTTTGAGCCATGTCAGATTCGGATTTTGAGCCCCATGACAGATCAGCATATGTGTTGGCAAGATAGGAGAGGTAAAGATAATGTTTTATGGAGTAATTATCTTCTTGAAACAGAAAGAGATAATGGCAGCTGGAAAATAGGGGAAGATCACAGTTTAAAAGGGGATTTTATCTGATAAAGTACAGGTGGCGAAATCTGGAAGGGAATTAAATTAGGTCAAAAGGTGAGGTGTCCCACTACTCCAACAAACTACCCATGATTGAGTAATTGCCGGCACAAGAGGAATAAAAAGGAAATCTTGGCAAGAGGAATAGATGGCCAGCCCTACTCAAACATCAACAAATTTTCATACTTTGATTTTCTCTGCACATACTTCCAGATTTCGGTTTTCAGCACAGATTTCGTATTTCAGCACAGATTCCATTAGAATTAGGTTGTTTTTTCATCATTCCAGTAGACAAATTAATTCCTATATTCAGTTAAACAATTTCTTTTCATGCAATGAACTTCAATTCTTCAAGTTTATGCAAGGTATTGTTTTCTTTTCATTTGTAATTAATTTAATGTTTATGTTAAGTAGCATTGCTTCAATGATTACTTATGTGGCTGTCATGCTTCTTTCCATTTTCAAGTTCTTCAATTTCTTTACTGTTCACGTTTAATTTTAGTGCTAATTTAGGAGTAAATTTCCAGTTCTGCAGCAATTTAATTTCCGAATCTGTCAATAGATTGCATTTTAATTTTATCATAAGCATGTTTAATTTAGTTTAAGTACATTTCTTTCTCGCAAGTTTATTTTAAATTGTAGGTAATTTAAAATAATTAGGATTTGATAATTTTAAGTCACGGTAGTGTTTAAGTCCGTGGAGTTGTCCAAGGCAGATTTCGTAACCCAATCTGCAGGAAGGTATCCCTCCCTCTTGCAAATCGTCTGAAGGCGCAATTTCAATTTTAATCCAACGTTCTTCCCGCCATCTGCGAAGAGGTTGACCATGAGGAAGGAGAGGGTCGTTGGGAAAGTCCTCATTTCTTACTTTCAGCAAAGTAAGTGGCACGCCCGCAACCAGATTTCACACGTGCAAGGCCACTAGAGGATTTTTGAGGAAACAGTATGACTGATTTGAAGTGAAATTTTTATGCTTTTCATTAAATTGAGCATGCCTACTTGAAATTTAATTGATTGTCCTGATGATCTAAAAGTGAT